AGTTCTTGGTAGATTTTCACAGTGAATTGCTTTGTTTTGATGAACACAGTAGCCCTTGGAAAAATTCCACAGAACAGTCTGGGCAAGCAGGATTCTTAACAATATTAAAAAATATTATAATACTATAACTTGCTATGAGTAAGTAAATAAGTTGCCAAGCAGTTTGCTATAAGTAAATAAGTCTCAAAACAAGAAATCATTTCTCTGTATCAGTAGGCAGAGAGATGGGTGGATCGTTAATGCTGTACATCCCTCAAGCCCTTGAATATCTGTGACAGCACTGGCTGAGGGGAGCAGAGGAGCAGCTGTCAGGGGTGAGTCTAGCACTCGGTCCCCTCTCAACCTCAGGTCTGAAGGTTACCAACATTACTCTGCAGCCTTTTGCCTTTGTGAGCAGTATAGCAGCCACTGCTGAACTTCCTGAACAACAGAATGCTCCTTCCTCCTCAAGACATGTGCAAAATGGTTGGACTGGATGATCCTCAAGGTCTTTTCCAACCTAGATGATTCTGTGAAATAAGGGATGCAAAAAGGCACATGCCAGTGTCTTCTGCAGCTCCATGCTGGCAATGCTACATGTGGACACGTGCACAGCTCCCACTCCCTTATTTGCTGGCCTTGCCAAATCCTAATCATGCTGTTTGCCTATGATCCTTCCACCCAAATGCTCCATCTCCTTCTCCCTTCCTTAAAGATGCTGCATCTCTTTGAAAGCTTCGGCTGCCTGCCAGTCTCTGTGTTCTCTCCCATCCCAGTTCACTCAGCTTCGTCTGATGAAAGCTTCTGGTTTTCCTCAGGGTTGGGTTCCTCAGCTGTTTCTCAACACATAGGAGCATTAAATTTGACATTACATTGTAGATGGTTCCATTCCAGTCTGGGAAGCACAGTATAAAAAGCTCAGGACAGATTTGTAGCCTCTGCTGACTTCTTGCAAGATGTTAGCTACATCACTTCAATACCTCCCCCGATTACCTCATCAAAAGGCAAACCAGCCATTCTCCTCTGCAAGGAGGGAGCAACGAGAACAAAGCGTGGCTACAAAGCCACCTTCATGTCATGCTTCACAATAAATGTCTGATACCTCAGGCAGACAGCTCAAGAGTGAGAGCTATTACACACACAACACTGGGATGGGTCTAGGAACTCTGGATAATGACCTTGAAACCACTCCTTTCTTTTGGGAAAATCTGGGCTAGAGCATTACCAAATCACAGAGTCATCTGGGATGGAAAAGCCCTTGAAGTTTCTCCAGCCCAACCATGAACCTCACCCTGACCGTTCCCAACTCCACTAGATCCCTCAGTGCTGGGTCAACCCGACTTTTCAAACCCTCCAGGGATGGGGACTCCCTCCCTGCCCTGGGCAGCCCATTCCAACGCCCAACAACCCCTTCTGCAAAGAAATACTTCCTAAGAGCCAGTCTGACCCTGCCCTGGCGGAGCTTGAGGCCATTCCCTCTTGGCCTGGTGCTGGTTCCTTGGCTCAAGAGACTCATCCCCTCTCTGCACCCTCCTTTCAGGGAGCTGTAGAGGGCCAGGAGGTCTCCCCTCAGCCTCCTCTTCTCCAGACTAAACTCCCCCAGTTCCCTCAGCCGCTCCCCATCAGACCTGTGCTCCAGACCCTGCACCAGTTTCTAAGGGCCATAGTTTTTAGATCTTTTGACCACCAATCTACAAATGAAATTACAAATTGAAGGTTGTGGACAGGTGAAATACACCTTGTCCACAGACATGAACCACAGCCATTGTCTTTCCCAGTGCACTGGCCATCTCCTTGACCAGAGCGTAGCAGGGGGATAGGGAAGACAGGAAGTTGGTTAATCCTGAGCTGTGTAGCAGATAGAGATGCCTCCACTTTCTTTACATATGGTCCTGTCCCCACTACTTAGCTTCTCAATTTTTCAGGCTGAAGTTTGAAATAACCCTGGTTAACCATATAGCCCCTTCTCATCCAAACCTGCTTCCCAAAGAGCTCTGCAAGATGTTCAGACACTCAAAGAGCTGCTGAACAGAACAGGCTTCCTCTGAAGTTTTTGAAATGATGGGGGGCGAGCTGGAGAAGGTACGTCAGAAGCATGACAGAGAATCCCCCTGTGTTGTATCTTCACACGACCAGTCTAATTAAATTGTACAGAGGACAGATGTAGCAGTAACCAGGCAGTTCATCACCTCACTGTGAGGCAGGGAAGGTATTGCCTTTCCCAGCCAATATGCCACCGGGGAGGAGACTGGCAGATATTCCCACTGGCAACATCAACAGGGAAACGAACGCTTTGCTGCAGGAAGATGTTAAACCACTTTTGTGCCAGCACCAACTTTAACCATCTAGATCAGAATTCTGAAAGGGATTTGACTTCATTATCTTTTTGTTTGAAAAGTCCTATCGAGCCTACAGAAAGTGCTTAAGGAAGGATGGTAACGTACTAGGACATCTTTAATAGTCTGAAGGAGTGCTGCATTGCCAGAAAAGAGATGAGGTCTTTTGGGAATTATGCAGATCACCCCAGAGTACTACAAATAATACCATTAAGCTGGCCTCCACCATCATCTATTTTGTTCATGCCTTCCATATCACAGAGGAAACCTCTATGATAAACTACTGAGAGGAAGGTTTAAATATTTTATTGGGGCCCTTTGCCTGCCAACTCAGGCTATGAATCAAAAATCAACAGGGCTCAAGAAGAAAAAAAGTAGCTACTCAGTGCTTAAAGGCACCTCTGAAACATACCTGCAACTGATTTTTATATGCATAAAAAACCCATGATCTGAAAGCCCTCTGGACTTAAGAAATGTAGAAATAAATTGAACAGCCTGCTGGAAGTCTTCCAGTCTTGAGCAGCACCTGCAATCCTGTAGAGCCACATAAGAGCAGGGCTAGAAACTGTCAGACAAGGCTTGATACAACCTGTCACGGACACTGTGTCCCCAGTAATTCAGAGGATGGATGGGGTGGGTGAATGTGTGTGGAAAGAAATTACATACCTGAAGGAAAGGAGAAAACATTTTTTGTGATAAATCTTCTTTTTTTTTGCTTAACACCTTTTAAATCATACCTTCGAAACTACCAGAGTCTGCAATATTAAAACAGCTTTGAAAGGAACAAGTTACTGAGCAGAATACCGATGAAGTGGTCAGTAAGGTACAGGAGTCAGCATTTCACACGTGGCCCTGCATGAAAAGATTTTTCTTTATCAAGGGAAAGGTCACATTAAGTTGCTAAGGGGAAGACGTTCGAGGGTCTAATTTTTTCTAACACCCCATCTCTTTTGGATTCTGCTCTTTTGTATTCTGCCATTTGGGGATGGATAACAGTCAAGGATATTTTTGCAGTCTTCTGTGCTATGTAGTTCATTTAGTACAGGAATTTTCCCATTCCTTAGTCATTTCAATTTCCACTTTTCCATGGAAAGTTTAATTTTCTTCATGTAGTTTTCTTCCCCATATTAGGGCAAGAATTCTGTTTTTGAAGGAAATTAGATCTCTGCTTGGGCATAAAATACAAAGCTTTCTAAGTTAGCATGAAAAATGTTGCTTACTTTTTACAATGTGAGTTAGGAGGACTGACAGGTAGATTGAAAACTTGTGTAAATACATGTGAAGGTTGTTTCAGGGTTAGTGCAGTTTGTTACATCTGTGTTCCTCAGATAATGAGCAGATGCAGTGGGTTAAACTTTGTCCAACAAGAAATTGTTCACCTTGTGCAGCTCTGGTAAATGCATGCACACACATACAAGAAGCAGAGAACCCTAATGAGTAAACCTGATTGGTATGACTGGAGAATGACCAGGAGCACAGCAGTATGGAAAGACTTGAAGGGCCAGAAGGGGAAACAGAAGGGTTATTGAGAATGGCATGTTAAAGGCACTTGGCTTAGCAGGTCACCAAGATCCCAGTACAGCTACAAGCAGCTTCTCAGGACCCCCAAGTGGGGAGACAAATTAAAATGAGTAAATCCTAATGATTCAGAGAGGTGGGATGGGATGGAGATGGGATGTTCACAGCCAAAGGGCACAAAATTGCACTACTTAGGTTGGTAGCCTTGTTGCTGATTTCAGAACAACACAGGCAGCACGAGGGACACATCCCTTACCCTCCGTGTCTTCACAAGGCATCCCTGACAGGCCTCTTGGACACAAGCATCTTGGTCCCCAAGTGCTGGGCTGCCTCGTGACAATTTTGGTGATTTTATGTGGATATGTAAGTGTCAGTGAATGAGAAGTTTTAAAATAGTCACTGTTGCTTCCCATGAAGTTTTGCACTGACGCTACATAAGAAAGACACTTGCAGAAACAAGCACTGCAAGGTCCCAACACTCCCATCCCACCCTGCATTCCTCTTGAAAGGAGCATAAAATATTTCATTAGAACTCCCTGGCAGATCTTCTATCTCACACTGTACACCCCGGACACCATCTCCAAGCTCCCAGTGCTGCATCAACATGAACAATCATAGGTACTTCCTGGAGTAAGGACATCAGTCCTTTATTTTATGTATTTTCTGTGGCTGAATGATCTCGTTTGAAGACCACATGTGGAACAGAAATGTACTCAGTGCAAGGCAGTGGCTAAGGCTGGAATGGTAGAAAGGACTGCGACAGCATCATGTAGCCACCGAAGGAGACAGGGATGCCCAGGCAATGCTGACAGGGCAGCTAAAACCTTTTATACTCTATAGCAAAGTCATTCTGATGCAAGATATTAAAAGAAATGGTGAAGAGCAAACTGTATGTTAATCTTTAATTGCTTTAAGGACAGCAATTTTAGCTGTAGTATTCTTTTAAGCTTAATTCAGGTAGTAGAGTTCTTATGGGGAGAGGGAGGGGTGGGTGTCTTTAACACTTCCAGGTCTATTATGGGATTGTTTTAATGCAAACTATCCTACTTGTAGATGAGTTGCTGTCCTCCATCAGGCTGCTAGGGCAAATTTCCAGGGGACATCTTGAGCACTGGACTCAAGCAATCCAGCACACCACCTCTGTCACACACTGAGGAGCCAGTGGAATGAATAACAAAATTTTTTTTAATTATTGCTTTGTAACATAAAACAAATAGATCCAGGATTCCAAAATGCAGGGTGTTAAAAAAAACTGAATAAAAGGAATGTGACATAACCAAGTCATATTTTAAAACAAGGAGCCACCAGCCTTTGCTAAACACCTTTTCCTGTGATGTGTCTCTTCCGCAGCCCTGTCTCACCCTGACATTGTGAAGCCTGCTCTCTGAGCAGCACTGGGACAGCTGGAAAGAATGGTACATTCATTCAATGGTACATACATATCATCCACATGTGATGTGCTGGAGTGAAATATTAGTCCACACAGGTGAAAGGGTAGAGTCAAAAAAAGACCTTCTACAGCAGGACATGGATTAACGTCCCAGGCGGGGACTCCCAAGGCAGGGGTTTTCAGGTGGAGGGCCTCCTCCTGGCCCAGAGGACGTTTTGCACTGCAAGCAGCCTGAGGGAGAAGTACACATACAGCCCCTCGTGCCACTGAACCCAGCAGCACTTCCAATCAGTTCTTTTCAGGGACAGAGATGCTGGCAATGGTCACAAGTTAACAGCGCGTTACACTGAGGCGGGATCTCTCATCAAGGAGCTGCATGATGGGACAACCACACCACCAGGATTTTCTAGAAAAATAATTACCTGTCATAATCCGTTGGGTATGTCCCAAACAGCTGCATTAATTTCAGAGCCTGCTTCTTCGATCACAAGTTCAATAATTCTGTCCTTCCACGTGGAAGATCAACGGTGAGTAACTGAAAACAAAGCTATCCAAACTGGTCTTGTGAGCTGTTCAGGTTCTTCCAAACCCCAAGAATGCACCAAAGTTGATTTAACTGAAAGGGACATTTGAATAAGATCTTCCTTCCCTGCCAGGAAGGGAGATCTTCAAATGTCTCCTTCAGATCCCTCCAGGAAGGAAGGCATTAACTAATAGCAGGTCCAGGTGACCCCACTGGCAGCCCACAGTACACAGTCCCACTGCATAAGCATGCAGCCTGCAACCTCCTCTGTCCTCTCTGGACTCATTGGCCTGGCTTTGCATTTGTTGGGCCCTGAAGCACCTGCTTGAAGACACATTTTTTCAGCTGATCCAGTTTATTGTCTCTCAAGGCATCCCGTATGGCACTGAAGAAACTGAAGTAGTGCTGGAAGTTGTGCATCATGAGCAGGACACCGGCCAACAGCTCATTGGTCACGAGGAGGTGATGGACGTAGGCACGAGTGTGCCTCTGGCAGCAGTAACAGGTGCATCCTTCCAGCACAGGACCAAAATCATCATGGTACCTAAGGAGGAAACAATGTTGGATAACAAAGGTTAGACCCAATCAAGCAATAAAGAGTATCCAGTTACTACACGGCCTTTTAGGGGGACCTGAGCCTCGAAGTCCTGAAGGGCCAAATCCAGCTGCTCTAAGATGTGTTGACATCTAAGACCAGCACTGCTGGCACAAAAGACTTAAAGCTCATGCCAGAACTCACTAGAGCACCAAAACGCCACACATTTACGTCAGAGAAGAACTCTGCCTACATCACAGCTAACAGCAGAGAGAGGCTTTATCTGTGCCTTTCCTGACAGAAAAGTTGCAGAGCAAGACAAGCCTCACTAGCTATCACACAGTCTGTGAAGGAGGAGGCTATGAGAAACAAAGATTTACTGATTCCACTGTTCACAAAACAGTATTCCCCTCTACTGGGAGATGCATCGTTCTCACAAAGTGGAGAGAGGATGGAGCAGAGCAACACAGTTGCCTACTCAGACAGCTGAGTGGTAGCTGGATTAAAATGAAGGACAGGTGCTAACTCTGGCCAAAGTTTTTGTGAAGTATCCATAAATTGCAGAATTGCTCTGCAGCTGCTCAAACTGAGTCAGAAAGTGGAGGCTCTCAGTAGTTTAAATACAACCTAGCATCTCAAGATGACCCAAGCTAGCTGTGGAAGACCAAAACGATCCCCAAACAACCTTTGTGAAGCTACTGTCTTTCAGCTGGAACGTAGTTATGACCACAGTATGTCTGTCTGCTGGATAAGTGATCAGAAAATCCCTGCCTTTAGGTCAAGCAAAGGACAGCACTTTCAGTTGTATGCTGTTGCCTGCTAAGCTAGGATGCTTGTCCAACACTCTCCATGCAATGTCCACAAGCAGTGTCTACAACACTACCATGTTTTATGAAGTCTCCTAATCACCTGCTGACCACCTGCAATCAAATACAGAGGACAAAAGCACAATATTTAGTGATAGAGTTGCAGGTACCCTCCTCACAAACTCATGTACCTTTTGTCCTTCAGAAATATCTCAAATGGTGTCATTTCTGGGTCAGCTTTGGAGATTTCATCCCGGTTGTCTTCAGCACCATTCCTCTCCAGGTCCTGGGCCCCATTTTGTTCTAAAACTGTTTTAAATAAAAAGATGACAGCCTTTTATGAACAGACAGCAAGGACAGAGGAAAGGTAGCAAACTTACAATAGGTATTTCTGATACTCTCTTGCCAGATGAAAACTCGTGCCACTAGTTTCCACCTAGTAATCATTTTTCTTTAGTTGTCATAGGCTAGCTCACACACATACAACTTTAGATGATTAAACCAGCAAGAGACAAGTGAAAACTAATCTACTAAATGTAATGAAGAGTGAGAACTGAAACAACAGTATAACTTTTTGCTGCTCCACTGAGCTGAATTCTTAATAAAATGTCAAAAATATTTCCAGTCTGAACTGAATGCTGAGTAGAATGCAATCACCTGAAGAAATTGATTTTATTGAGATTTTGTTAAGAGTAGACAGGCAACTCATCTGCATTCAATCATTCTACTTTCCATGCTGCCATCAAGCTCAGAGGTTTAGATGCCTTTTTTTTTTTTAAAAAAAAAAAAAAAAAAAAGGAATCAAAAGAGGCTGGTGGCACTAATGCAGAAGATGTAGATTCCACATCTGCCTTTCCAGCAGTCTATCCTAAAAATAAAAAAATCACCCCATAATTTTGTAGGTTTGCATTTTTAGGTTTTCTCTTAAGCAGGAGATGTATCCGGAAACCTCAATATTGCTGTTTGCACAATCCATGTTTACTGAGTGTTAAACAGACACAGAACAAAGAGATTGTCCTTACCCAGAATAATATGATTTAAGAGTAAGGTCATGCAAGGTAAACAACAACAAAGAGAAGGGTTAAAAAAATAGCAGCAAGCACAAAGACATAAGATGTTCTGTTCTATTTAGCTGGTTTTGGATTATCCAAGCATAAAAAGCTGCTAGGTTCTACCCAGGAGGAAAAATGTAAAATGTTTTTCTGTATTAAAAACAATTAATAGGCCAAAACAAAACAGCTGCTTGAAACACATTTGATAGATGCTTTAGTGGGTGATATACATGATCCCATCTCACAGCATAATGAGGTAATGAGTTCTGAACATCTCCTTTTTAATATGAACTGATAAATGCAAAGACAGAGGAAAGCTGCCCAAAGAAAAGGGATCCCTAAGTTTTGCCAGCTAGAAAGAAGGGACTTTAAAAAATATATTCTTAAGACAGACACATATCCAGTTAATTCTAGAGATCAAGTACCTTAAATCTCCACTTAATACGTTCAGCCTTCACTGCTAATGGCAACAAAAAAATTGCCAATGATGTTGAACAAAACCCCCTCTATTCAGTAAGTGTTTAAGAAATACCTGAGCATATTTTGGCTAAATCAGACATTCAGATCCTAGGCTGAGGTCTCAAGATCAACTCAACAGGTTTCACACCAAAACCCCCCACCTTCAAAAGCAACACCTGACAGTGGAATCCCAGTTTTTCCAGTGGTCACTGCACTTATCTCAGGAACAAAACATTCAAATATAGATTCCTCCAAAGCATGAATTATGCTTGCCACAGTACTGCCTGAGACAGTAAAACTTATAAGGACCATCGAGAAGCCTACCTGCTGCTTCAGGATCTGGATGGCAGTCATAACTGAAAACCAAGGCACAGCCTCGCTCTGTCACTTGGAAGGGAAAGAAGCTCTCAAAAATGTCTACTCCCCTTTCAATGCACTCAAGCACCTCATCTGGTTTGCCTACACCGTGGATGATTCTGTAAGAGACACACAAGATGACAAATCTAGAATAGTCTGAGCAGAAGCAGGCAGGTACCTGAAGGAAAAGGCACACGTGCAGCACATGTAGCTTATCCCTGCAACTGCTAACCAAAAGGCAAGTGGGTACAACAGTCACCACTCAGAATCCTGTGTACTTCCATTTCCCTACCTCAAACCTATCCAGTCCATGGTGGGCTTTTATCTGCCATTTAGAAGACAGCAATAATCTCTCATTTACTGCAAACCCCCCCCCTCATTCTGTTTATTATGTTTGAAGTGATTTGGTTTCTTTCACATGCACATAAATAGACAGATTCAAAATTCACCTAACATCTATGCCATAGAACAGACATTTTCCTTAGTCATGTTTGTGCCTCACGGAACTACCAGTCTCCAGACACATTTTGCTTGGTAACTGTTTAGGAGACAGTCTAAGAAGACTTGATGAAGAGCAGCAGAGACAACAGTAGATGGCTGGTCAAAGATAGAGGTCCTTCAGGTGACAGACACATCACGTAGCACCTGGAGAACTGCTTGGAGGAGAAGGTACTAATGAGGAATGTCACTGGAAAGAGAAAAGTTCCTTGCTTTAGTCTTCCCTCCTCTTTACACTCTACCTGCTCAAATGATTTACCCAGAAACCTGGGCTATAACATCTCCTGGGACATGGTATTAAGAGCCAGGAAGAGCCCTGCTGGATTGCCATCAATGGTAACAGAGATCCTGCTGTTAGCCAAATTCAGCTGGCAGCTTCCCTGAGAGCGAGTGAAGCAGAAGAGAACAGAGCAGTGCCTGCTCTCCTGCAGGGGCACGACTGGGCTGACAGCAGCAGAAGCCAATGTAGGGCAATGATCTAAACAGATAATTAGGAAAAGACACAGGGACTGATAAATGAAGTCACAAGGTGCCATTTTTAGTCACTTTTCTAAGTACTCCAATTAAATTGATGAGCACAGAAGAAGGATGGGAGAAGTTTACAGCATGAATCTTATGTTTCAGGCTCTCGTCGCAGGGAGAAAATGATATTCAATAGTTCAAACAGTAGCTCTGCATATAAGATCAAAACCCTTGCTTAAATTTATCTTTGCACAGGACAAACATTTGTCCTTGCAAGGGTTCTGATGCTATTGCAAAGGAATATAAATTTTACCAAGATACTTCAGCACCTTTAGGTACACGAAAAGACTCTTTAGAGTACACTCATGAGCTCATTTCACCACCACACAAAAAGCAGTCGCTTCTTGGGTGAAACACAGGAAGTGTTTGTCTTCTACAGAATTTCATATTAGGGTAGAACATAGCTGCAAAACAAATTCCCCAGCCAGAATGGCAAGGGTGATTCAGGAAAACAGGATTGTCTGAAATTCACTTGAGGTACTTACAAGTCCCTCTAGCTAACCTGCTTTCTTCCTACAAAGAGGTCAGGAGCACTTGTCTTAACCAGACAGGCAAGCTATTTGATAGATGAGGGAGATGCACTGGTAGACACTAAGGTTAGCTGAGCAGATTGGGCTCTAATGCTCCCAGGGGATCTTTTAAGTAGCTCAACCAGACAGTATGGCAACAACACAGTAAGCCTTCTAATTGTCAGGAAAATTCAAACCCCAGGCACCACTAAACACGAACAAGCTGCAACATCAGAACACGTGTTTTTGCATTTAATTTCCTTCTGAACACCATTAGGTCAGAGCAAAGCTCAGCTAGCAGAGGGCAGCACAGCTACAGAAAGACAACAGGCCCTGAGTCACTCTTTTCAGGAAGCGATTTAAAGAGCACCTGTTCTACTTCTGTTGCAACTGCTCTTCTAAGAGCAACCCACGCAAAAGCCAGCAAGTTCAACCCAACACTAAAAAAATCCCGCCACTTCCAAACCACTAGCAAATATTAGCACATGTTTTCTGGAAGTCTTTAGTTACTGTTAGTCATTTATAAGAGTCAGGAATGCTGCCACTCCTGGCCTGTCTCTGGCACAGATCTGATGGGCATAACTAACAGAATACACAACGATCCCCACGCTATGCCAGTCCAAGCAGAGAACACACTTGCTTTGGGCCAGGCTGCACCAGTTCTGGTAGCCCACACAGGCTCAGTGCCTCTGGCACTAGGTCTGAGCTGGCTGCTGTAAGGTTGTGTAAGCACTGGCTGATTCTATCAGCACTCTGCTCTCCTCCAGTTCCAACCAGAGAACTGGAAACATGGCAGTTTTTCTGAGAAGAGGTCCCTGTAAAACAGGTTGATAATAATGTCCTTGTTTGAGCTGAACTTCAAGTAAACCATGGCCTCAGAGGCCAAATGCAAGCAGCCCAGACACATTGTACCTGTAATTCTTCCTAAAAAAAAAAAAAAAAAAAAGATGACTTAAACTAAAATCTTGATAATTCTCCAAATGCAGGGAATACTCAAACTCACAGTGTGAGCACAGCTTGGTGTCAGCTGCAGCTAAAAACTGAAACCAGGGTTGAAGACTGCAGCCTGACAGTGGTAAAATTTATACAGCCTGGCACACACACAGAGCTGTGCAATATAGTGATTATTTCCTACAGTGATATTGCACAGCAGCCTGTGGATGCTCCTCATCACAGGACAGATGGACTTCTTGGGAGGTTGCCCACACAACTTACCTTGGTTTATCCTCTGGCAGCTCTGCTGTGACAGAAGCTATCAGTTTCAACTTGGTCTCCCTGGCCATGGCACAGCCCTGGAAGCCATCTAGCAGAAAGCCACCCACAGGTCGCTTGGCAGTCTCTCTGGCTGATCTGAGCCTCTCTTCCAAGATATCTCCACCTTCAATTGCCCCAAACATTACACTTCCTTGTAGTTCCTGGCCCAGGAGAAAGCTACAAGTGTTAGAGCGTGCTCTGCCAAAGACGTGGAAGACATCTCCCAGCCCAGACTCCAGATGCCTGCTACTTAAGCCCTGCATTCCCAGGAACTTGCCAGAGCCACAGTGTTTCACGCCATGTAAGATTATTCCCCACACAACACTCTGAAGTTCAAGTGTAAAGTAGAATTGGAATTAGGAGAGAGAAGATTCTGCTCCTTTGACACTAACTCACTGAGAATTTTTCCCAACTCCCTAGAGAAGGGAAGAACCACAGCTCATATTTGTAGATGGCTTTTTACAGATGGCCCCTCAGCACTGTGTGTGTGTCAGCACAAAATACAACACAGGAGCCATTATCCTAGAGGTCAGACAATTAATTGCCTTTCAGGGGGATACCAGTATCAGCTCCTGACACCCATTTTCCTTTGTGGTACAGTTTCAAATAGTATGTCTCACTTCAATGGAAGGGAGGGAATTTTCAAAGCTGCTGGAAGAACTAAAGAATAGCCCTGGCAAATTCTAGCAGGTTCTCCCTTACTTGGAACCGAGGGGACTTCAGAGCAAAAACGTGGGGGTTCTGAATCTGGCTGAGAAGATTCTACTTTGCCCATGTGTTATATGCATTATATAAATGTAAGTGAAAGAAATGCACTACAGTTCAACTGCAGAAATTATTTTTTTTTTAAAAAATAGTTGTTCTCAACTAGTAGAGATGGGTATCCTGGTGCAGGAGGCAAGCTATTAAAAGAGAGTGACAGAAGGAAAACCCACTGTGCTACTGGTTATACCCCATCCCGAACTCTCACCTGGGCATTCTCTGATACATATGTGTGACATGATTTCCTACTAAATCACATCCTGGGACTGGCCCAGAATGCAGCACAAACCAAAAAGCAGCTGTGGTGCTACTGCCCTGGTATTTTGGGGACCTTACCGGTGATTTTTCTAGCAGCTGAAGGCATACATCCAGGAAGGAAAGTGACCTATCCACAGACTTCTTGGCCCTTTTTCTACCAGCTTCCCCTGAGATGGTGTCTCCATCAGAGATGCACTGGAACCAGTCTGGCTGGATGGCCCGCTGTATGTCCATGAACTTGGAAGCTGTCATTTCCATACGCCCTGAGTTTCCCCACAGGGACACTGCCTGTCAAGGAAGAATAAGGATGAACATTAGTTGCAAAGGTTAACAGATCTTAAGGGTCAAAGGAGAGAAGGAACTGAGCTGGTGAAACACCAGATACTGGAATGATACTTCATAGGTCAGTTCTCCAGAAGCATGGCTCAGATAATCAGCTGCACTTGGCAAAATGAGTGAACGGAGATGAATGACTGAACTGGAATTTCTGGGATACTCTTTGGTGAAACCATCACACTCGACACAGTGACTTCTCCACATGTTTGGAAGTCTCAGATAGAGCAGCTGGCCTTTCACACAAATTAGCAGAACTGGAAAAAAACTAAAAAAGGATTTCATTCCCCTCAAATTTATGTTGTCACCTCATGAAAAGCAGCAAAGGCTGCAATGGGAAATACAGCTCATTAGTTTTCTGTACACAGCGTAAAACCAAGAAACTATTTCCTCTTCCAAGCAGTGAATTCATAGCACCCATGTGAATATACATGCATATATGCACACTGAGAAGAATACAAAAGGTTGTTAGACAACTTAATCTTAGAATCAAATCTTATTTTAGGTCCCAAATCCAGCTACTTAAGGGATTGAAATACCAAGTGCAAAGGAAATACTCAAACTGAGCCAACGTAAGATACAGCAGGTACTCATTAGGATTTCAGAGAGTCTTCTCAGTCTCTTCACACATTTTCCGTTCTGTGTACATGCATGGGCCCCCATCTTCCATCATTTCTCCTTGCCACTCTCAAAAGATTTTAAAGCAAAGACAGAAGCACCTGGACAGAGAGGTTATGTTACCTGAACACCTCTGGGCTAGCAGATGTCATTGTCCAATTCAATAAACTTTCAGCTCCACAAGATGTGACTGCAGCCACTGCAGCAATGGACGCTGCCACGTGTCATCCCATTCTGCAGAAGCTGTAATTAACCTGTGAGTGCAGCTTCGCAGTTGCTTTTGTCGTTATTATTGTTAGACCTGTGACACTGCTGCCCCAAAATTTTAAAGGGGGTATTGAAGTAGGTTAAGTATTCAGCTCGAGCCCTTTAGAAGTTAGTCCTTTTCATCTGCAACTCTATTAGTGCTTTTTAAATGAGGAACAGTTTTCAGCTATCAGAAATAGCTTATAGCTTGCAGTGTTATGGTGACTTTTTTGTGGTTTGAGGGTTTAAACAAATTCTCCTAGCCTATGCCAGACAGACAGATTAAGCAGTGTAGCTCTCATGCATACTAATTCACAAATTGAGTTTGATCAGCTGATGCAAGAAGTATGAGCGGAATAATTATTTATCTTTTGTCTGGTCTCCACAAAAACCAAAAGGGTTGTGCAAATACACCATGTCTGTTGTCCGTCCGTCCGTCCATCCATCCATCCATCCATCCCTCCCTCCTGATTACTTTTGGCCCCATCAGTCAATTTCACTAAAACTGAGAAACAAAGAAACAGGAAGAAGTCTCCAAAGTAATAACATTTTTGTAAATTTTTCATTAAAAAAACCAAAAGGCAACTCCAAAGGAGGAAGATCCCAAATTAGTACCTGCAGAGTAAGTGGAACGCAGCAGCTGTATGTTGTTCTGCAGCACATTGGCCAGTTAGTACCTGCTGCCTCTTATGTGAGAGCAGCAAGGAACAGCTGGTGAAGGCAGGCAAAGGAAATCAGAACTGTCTGAGCCAAAGGGCACAGGGTGTAACCAAGTCTAGTTACTTTCATTCTGCTCTCCAGAGGAAAAAAAATGCTTTCATAAATAAAATAGCCAGGCAGCTTAAAGAACTGAGCGCTATACCATGATTATTTAAATCCAGCCTGAGCCAGGCTTTCCAGCACGGAATCCAGAGCTTTCGGTCCCATTGCTTTCAGAAGTGTTTGTCAGCAGGGATCCAGCTGCAGAAGGCCTTGCAACAAGTAGACAAAAATCTTTACCAGCTTTAAGAAAAAAAAGAAAAAAGAAGCCAAATCAAACCTGCAACACCCAGGCTTAGATCGCTTCTGTCACCTCATAGCTGCACAATGGTGAGACAAGCTTCTGGTGATGCCTTCCCTGCAGAGAGACAGGGCTCAGCAGCAAGGAATAAACACAGATTGCTGGATGGCAGTAGCTACCCTCTGTCATTCACAGAATCATCTTGGCTGGAAAAGCCCTTGAAGCTCCTCCAGTCCAACCATGAACCTCACCCTGACCGTTCCCAGCTCCACCAGATCCCTCAGCGCTGGGTCAACCTGACTCTTCAACCCCTCCAGGGATGGGGACTCCCCCCCTGCCCTGGGCAGCCCATTCCAATGCCCAACAACCCCTTCTGCAAACAAATACTTCCTGACCTTTCCCCAAAAGTGACCGTACCCAAACAGGCCTTGGGACTGACCGTACGTGAGCAGGTGCCAGGAGTGGCCCCTCCAGGCCAAAGCTGTGGCAGGCAGCAGGTAGCGTGTGGGTTGCATGAGGAACATGTGTGCCTGTGGGATGGAACAGGAAAACACCCGCAACACTACACACTCCTGGATTGCTGAGCCACTTTCCTGCAGAAATACTTAAGTTCTTCCCCTTTGTAGGCCTGTAGCTGATTGTAAATACACACACAATGGTTCAGGTTCATTGCTTATCAGTGGCATCACTGTAAGCTAAAGCACATAAGCTAGAATATATGCGTTTTCTTTTACTACCATATTAATCTCAACAGCATGGGCACCCAGAGCTCTCCTTTCTATATGAATTGTCACCTAACTGCTCAGGGAACACACCGCCAAGTAAGAAAGCATCCAGCTTTATCTAGTTGGAGGTATGAGCACATAAATGACATTCTTTATTTATTTTTCTATAAAGCATAAAAAAAAAAAAAAAATCTTATGGCTGTCTAAGCACACCCACACAGATGAGGGGAGGACTGGCAGCTTTCTTTTGGGAACTTGAAGTGGACCCTTTCAAGTCCTTACCTTGTTAGTGTTGTAGCCAGACGGGCAGGGAGTGACCGGGTCATGAAGGGAGCAGTACAGCACTGTGTCTGGCATACCTGGGAACAGAGCGACAGACACAGAGTAGAGTTTCATGAAACAAAACAAAGCTAATGCAAAAACGTGGTTTGTAAATCCATAAAAGAGGATATTCTCCTACACACAATCCATCCATTCTGACAAAGAAAATATTGTTCATCCGATCTCTCAGCACCAATGGCAGCAGACTTTTCCCCCAGCTTTACCAGGTACAGGGAAGAGAGTGCAGCATCAGGACAAACCATCAAATAATACCCTCTGGTTCTGCAGCCTACATAGCTCCTTTGAGATTTGTGCTTTTTCTCAATTAATACTCCTGCTACTAAAATGTGCCAGACCCAACAGCTGACTCTCTTGAACAATCAACTGATACACCGGTGTCATCTGACATTTGACACCATTCAAAGTGAGCAACAACCTCAAGTCTAGATTCTTAAGGAAGGACAACATATAGAGAGAGATCAGCTGCACAAATGAGAAATTTATCATCCCTGCCAGATTGGAAGTTTCAAATGTCAGAAAGCTAGACAGTATGTCTTAACGACATACAGTTTTCTCTTCACAGTCAGTCACTGAAATTAGCGAGTCCTCCAGAAAGTTTCAGATAAAGAGATTTACAATTTTTCTTGAAATAAGTTGTCCCAAAGCAGTCGAAGCTTACTGAAAGCTGAATGCAAACTTCCTTTGGAAATCCAAGCCATAACTTTGCTTATGTAATGGAATGCATGTCCAAAATTTTGATGTGCTTTTTTAAGAAAAAAAAAAAAAAAAGCTTGATCTCTGTATATATGTCAAAAATGCTTAACATTTCTAAAAATCGTAATAATTTACATTATTGTATACATTCATAATGTATGTGCAACTGACACAAACAAAGCGTACATAAAAATACCTCAGCTTTGATACAAGCACTGGCAACTCCCAAAGCAGCTTTTTGACTTGGCTGATTGTCCTACAGTTCTCTGAGCTCCCTCCCTCCCCAGATATAAATACAGGCTATGATACAGATACTTACACACGATACTAACCCTGTGTTCACTGTGCATTCAAGTTCCTTCGCCACATGCGCCTGATCACAGTGATCCTGGCTGCACAGTGCACACGGTCAGGCTTTTACTGATCTGTTATGACAACCGCAAGAAAAACCCAGGATAGGCACAAACACAGGAACTGCTGCTTTACACATTCTGATCACCGAGGTGTTAATGTAAAGATTTCATTCAGAAACTGCTCCAAGAATGGAGTACAGGGACTGGTGAAGATCACAAAGGCTTGTTGCAGTAGCTTAGGGCCATAGCAATGCTGACTGCTTTGCATTTGACTATCCATAAGTAAAACTGAGTTTATTCCTAAAACTGATTCTAACATGGAAAAAATGGAAGCAGAATACAGGGAGCAAGTACAGGCTGACTGCTAAACTGAAAGGAACAAAGAACAGGAGAAAAATGAGCTTCTCCACCTGCTTCTTTAATTCCTCAAAACAAATTCAACATGGGTCCCCCAGAGGCAGAAGCGTCCATCAGCTGAGACTGATTTGATGTGGGGTGCTTTGCCTGTTTATTCTTCATACTGGATGAAGATTTTCTGTGGAAATTTTTGGAATCTATTGAGCTCTTAAACCTATTTTATGAGAAACAAAAAAGCGAGCTCAAGCAGATAATCTCCAGAAATGTATTTGAACAGCTGTATGGGGAAGGCCATTTTCACAAGAATTTCTGATTCTCGTCAAAAGACATCAGAAATTGCATCTGGCAAGATTCATTCACAGCAGTGACTGAGTCCTGCAGCAAAAGCTCTCTCAGTTCTAGTCTCACCTTTTGGGCTAAACACATCTCAGTCAGTGCTGAAGCCCCCAGGGAGAAGGCTGGGTGCAGAAAAAAAGAAATAAAGCAAAACTACATATTTTTGTAGCCCATTTGAAGGATTTCTGGCCATGCTAGTAACAACATACCAGTTCAAGTCTTCCCTAGTGCCACACTGAGTGATGAAAATCCCTAAATGCGGAAAGCCTATGTATACATCTTTCTGCCCACCGTACTGCCTAAAAATGCACCCATGGGACCCACCTGCATCTCTCCAGATGCACAAGCAGACACACACACACTTTACCTATGAATTTTGCAGCTCCTTCTTTATATTCTTCCAGGACATCATGAAGTTCTGCCCTGCATCCAGACACAGAAATACATTAACTAAGCAAACAACTGTCAAGAAAGTAGTTTCATAACTAAGGCTTCTGTTCCCATGCTTAGGCGCTGTCTGAACCTGCATATGTTTAGGCACTGATAGGTGCCATCAGGCAGCAAAGCAGGGGCAGAGGGAACTAAATGCCAGAGACACAGAGCTTAGAGACCAGGGCAGACATAATTCTATAGAGAAAAGGCAGAGTTTTTAGCTGCACTGACCACTGAGTTGCCAGAGAGCATGAAGTCACACTGAGACTTTCTGGGTGGCCTTACTAAGGTGCATCACTCAACAACTACACAAGGCAGGGAGGGGAAAGATTCTAACAGGCTTTATGATGTTAATTTTTTCCTTTCAGTTGCTACTTACCTAACTAGTTTTGTGTTGACTGCTTCAAAAGCTGGGAATTCTGCTGGGAAGATGACTGAATTTGCTACGAGGGCTTTGGCTAAAACAATTGATTTGCGGAAAACAGACTCCTCTGGTGCCAGGGTGCAAAGGGATTTCGCCACAAAGACTGCACACCCACAACACATTTTACCAAAAAACTATCGAGTGTGAACATACATTTTCATTGGATTAAAGAATATAAATATTCACATGCATGAGTAAGACTGGGTTAGTACTAGAGGCTGGTGTCAGCAGCTGATGTTCTCGTTGCACCTGCCCATTGCCTCCTGGTGGGCATCTTCAGGGGTCTGTTGGAGGAATGCTCACAGTCCTCCTCACCTTGCACTTTTCCTCGGAGCATGCGCAGATTCTCTTGGCCAACATTAGCCAATGAGCCGGTTTACTCATTGTATCTTATCTAAAATACCAGTGTATCCACTTCTACCGTCCATATATGGCTATTTTACTCATTACTGAGACTAGTTAGAGCAGATCTGCTTTCCAAGGACAAAACCATAATATTTTGCTGAATACTGCAATTCTTGGTAGATTTTCACAGTGAACTGCTTTGTTTTGATGAACACAGTAGCCCTTGGTAAAATTCCACAGAACAGGAGCAGGCAAGCAGGATTATTAAGCAATATTCAGAAATCATGATAAGTTGCGATAAGTAAAGAAGTTGCACAGCAGGTCATCACTTCCTTGTATCACACGCAAAAATTATGCAAGTCCTCTATGCTGCTTCCCTTTATCTGCTTCCTATTAAGCCACTGCACCTCCCTTCAACAGGAAGGCAACAAAGGGGCAACCTACCTCAACATTCTCCCTTGCTCGAGGGGAAAGGAAAATCCCAGAATCATTCAGGTTGGAAAAGCCCCTTTCGATCATCGGGTCCAACCCTCAGCCCGACTCTACAAAGTTCTCCCCTACCCCACATCCCCCCACCACTCATTCAAAACGGCCCTTAAACACACCCAGGGATGGGGACTCCATCCCCTCCCTGGGCAGCCTATTCCACTCTCTGACCACTCTTTCTGGGAAACATTTTCTCCTCATGTCCAGTCTGACCCTCCCCTGTTGCAGTTTAAAGCCGTTCCCTCTTGTTCTGTCACTAATCCCCTGTGAGAAGAGACCAGCACCAGCCTCTCTGCAATGTCCTTTCAGGGAGCTGCGGAGAGTGATGAGGTCTCCCCTCAGCCTCCTTCTCCTCACACTGAACAGCCCCAGCTCCTTCAATGGCTCCTCACAGGATTTATTCCCCAGGCCCTTCCCCAGCCTCGTTGCCCTCCTCTGCCCTCGCTCCAGCCCCTCGAGATCTCTCATACTGAGGTGCCCCAAACTTGACACAACACTCCAGGTGTGGCCTCCCCAGTGCAGAGCACAGGGGGACTATCACCTCCCTACTTCTGCTAGTCACACTACTCCTAAAAGCAGCCCCCCGCCACCCTTCACGGTACTCACAGGGCGGGCAGGGCGAGCTGGGCCATGGCGGGGACGCCGCGGACCGCCTGCAGGGTGTCGCGGGTGAGGTGTGGCGCCGAGCCAGTGCGCGTGTAGAGCAGGCAGCCCG